GATATTTTTAAGGTAAAACTCAAGATTGTTTCTCTTTTTGTATTTTTTTTTTTTTTTTGGGGGGGGGGAGGGATAGGGAGTGGGTGTTGGAACTCAATGATCTTTAAGGTCCCTTCCAACCCAAACCATTCTATGATTCTAGTAAGTCTGCTAGGTACCCGACACACATTTGCTGGGTGAAGAAGAGCAACATGCCTGTTTGGTAGAAAGCAAGTACAGAAATACACTGTGTTATTCTGCACAAGCACAATAAGCTTTAAAAACATTTAAACATAAAAGGCTAGAAAAGCAGACATGAATGTGACTCCCCGTTATCCCTTGGGATGACAGGAAGCTGGGAATGCTCCTTCGGTCCTTACGCAGCCAGTGGCTCACTCCAGCTCCAACACATTTCAGCATTTTATAATGCAGCAGCCACTGCCAGGACAAATACGTGGTGAGTCCCAACACATACAATGCTCTGTAAAAAAAGTAAAACCCACTCAGCTGCCCAAGTTCTTTGTCTAACAGCACTTTTTGAAATAAATCCATTTCAACTGGATCTGGCTTATTTCCAACACCAATTAATAGCAATATTGAATTCTTGGGCAGCTAAATATGCAGCTTCTGCCCACTGGACTTTCATGTAATGACACTGTAAAATGCTTAAAAAAAAAATCTGAGTCGCATAGCCAGAGACTACACATGCTATTTCCCCCAATACAGACCATTCAACACTCCCTTTTCTGAAAGTATTTACATTCAAATTCACTTTGAGGGTGGTTTGGCAGTAAAACTGCAGCACACAATTCCTCTGTCCACCATAGCCATATAATTGTTATAATTCAGCATGCATTCTTAGATACCTACAGAGATGCTTTAAGGAGAGGTAGTAGCAAATGCCCTGTTATAAGAGAAACAAGCCAGCACTCCCCTTCAAGACACTTTTGTCCACTTCCTTTAGCAAAATTATACCAGCTGTGCTGCCTCTTTGTGTGAAATAACAAACTACCCTAATTCACAGCACTAATACTTATCAATCTGCCACAACTGCCTGCTTCCCCCACAAACAGTAACCCTGCAAGGAGCCAGCACCTTTCCCTTGAAGCTCCCACACACCCACCCAAGCTCCAGATCACGGCTGGTGTTGTGGCATCTCCAACTTGGCTCCTGACGCCCATTTGTTGCCAAATCACTACTGTTATATTTAAGCCACAGCCTTGCCTCCAACTGTATGATTTCTGTATCAGTAAGGGCTGTTTGGCTGCATTCAAATGGAGGCATCTCAAACACAAAAATCATGAGAGAAGTTTGGAGGCAAAGGAAAAAAAAAAAGGATGCATATCACTGAATAACTGTATTTTGGACATAACAGAGGATTCTTAATAGGTAACATGGAAAACCATTGCTAAAAATTAGGAATATATAAGATCTCATAAACCTGAGAGCAGAGAGATGGTTCTAGCAGCATTTTAAATCAACTTCATGCCTCATTTTCCAAGTATCAGCTTCTGATCGTTTCTTTTTGCTACTGTATTCAGTGTTCAAGGTACAATATTTTTCATGCATCTTCTCTATACCCTGCTTCAAGAAAGGACAAATCACTGGAACAGGGGATAGGGGCATACAAACCATGCTTGGGAAAGCTGCTCTAACTTTTATTTTTATACATTTGTATCAGCTGGTAATTCATCTTTGACAAAGCTGCAGATGACTGAAATTTCATTGCAAGGAAACCATGCTCTGTTTAATAATAAGAACAATCAAATGCCATGATTTGAAGGAAGTAACTTTTTTTCTTGACCTTTTTGTTACTGGCAAAACGTCAGTAGATTATTAAAGTGCAGAGAGCACAATCTATAATAAATAACCTTGTATTGCCACATACCAGACCATAACGCCCACTCCTCTCTGTCCAGACACATACCTTAGTTTTCCAAAACAGCTCTGATTTATAAAGAATTATAGATAACCCACAGAGTCTGAATGCCAAGTGTAATACCGTGGGTGAACAAGACTCGCTCAATTCCTGGAAGCATAAACAAGGGGGGGAAGGAACAAAAAGAAGCAGGAGCCAGAATGCAGCCTTAATTCTGTATGTGGCAGCTGCATGCAAACTTTATCTTCACCTGAAATATAGCATCATGAGAAATTGGAAAGGGCCCAGCAAAAAACCACAAGGCTGTCTCCAGGTCTTAAATCAACTGCAATGAGAGATTTAAGGTGTTCAACCTACTTATCAAAGACACTTAAAGCATCACTTGATCACAGACTGCAATTACTTAGAGGGAAAAGATGTCAGAAAGCTGGAAAAATGAAGCTACAAAAAAGCCAGATTGCAAAGAAAGGACACACGTTTTATTGTAAAAATAATTACCCTTCGCACACATTGCTGAAGAGCACAAAAGACTCACCAACAGAAATTAAAATGCACTGCATGTCTAAGATACATGCTGTAATTCAATCAGAAGTTACTAGACGCAAGGTAAGAATCCCAGGCCAAAATCCTGTGGCTTGCAGATGCAAAGTCAATTGAGATCAACAGGACTGTTACCTCCGGCTTTAAAATCCGGGATGTAAAGAAAAGCTGAACTGTCCAAAAAGCAAACTCCAGCCTTCCTACCTGATCCCACTTACCAGATAAGCACCTTAGGAGATCACCATGCCAAGTGCTGCGGAGTCTTTCTCCAGGTGCTGCCCAAGTGCTGTACCTTGCTGCGCTGTAAGTAGCGGGACAGCCTGCAACAGGCAGACTCTGTTGCTTGTTAAACATTTCTAGCCTCCAAACATTTATTCTCCACTAATTTCTTCTAAGATCTATTTCCAAACCAGCCTGAAGAAAATATTGTTTTAGTGACTTCAGTAAAATATTCCTTTTTATTATTTCATATGCCGTTTCATTTTCTGGTGCTCAAAACTAAATGGTACAGAATTTGCAGTACTGGGAGGCTCAGCTGTAGCTCATCTAAGATAGAATCACTGAGCCAACAGCATCGAGCGCAGTAGGATTGCCCATTAAAAATACTATGGTATAATTCAAGGCTTCCTGTAGGCACCGTCTATGCATGCAGCTCAGCTCATTTTCAAAACATTATTAAGAGCTACACTACTTAACTCACCATTTCATTTTGATGTTAAATGAAAGCAAAGAGCATGACAAAAAAGTGGCAGTGGAAAAAAAAAAAAAAGAAAACGGGCCTGAAGATTTCCTACTAGCTTTATCCAGAAAGTAAGCAGGCATACCCTGGCTGGGACAGGGCAGGCAGACAAGGTGAAATAACCCCCAGAAGAGGTCAGACCCTCTCGCTACCCTCATAACAGAGTCTTGCAGGTTAGCAGTGCAAAAAAATAAAAAACTAATCCCAACACTTACTTTCTGTTCATTATTTTTCCAGTGCAGACAGAGGCACAGGGGTGGCAAGCAATCTCCCCAGAGCTACACGAAGCCTGTGATGGAAGCAGGAACGATCGTTGATCTCCTGAATCAAAAGCCAAATGCCTTAACCACAAAATTATCCTACTTTCATTGCCTCAACCTGTCTGAATCCAGAAGTACCAAATTACTGGGGGAGGGAAGGAGGAAGGGAAGAAAACAGAACATCTATGGGGAATATTTCTGACCCATCTAGAAGCAGAAACTGCTTATATTGGTGTAAGCCTCCTATATTGCAGTCCAAGGAATTTGGGACAAGGGTATGAACTCAAAAATGTGGTCAAAATACTCAGCTTTTTGAAATTTAAGTGGGGCTGACATAGACCTTCTATTAAATCAAGCAAAAAGCCTGGAGTGCTCAAGAGATTAAATAATTCACACACTGCCTTTCCCTGGGGGTTCACATCCAGCCCAGACCACAAGTGTCATGTACAATCACGTGTACTTTTGATAGACTTTGAGAGGTAAGAGAATGGACAATCCCCAGAAGACAAATGCTCACATGGGACAAGTCCCTGGGGAGAAGCCTGGCGACAGTCCTAGGGGACAGTAAGTAAAACCGGTGGAGGGAATGCTGCAGAGAAGTAGAATCTTGGACCCCAGGGTACAGATGTGAATAAATGAGGGGATACGCTTTGGTTTGCCCTTGACAGTCTCAACTTCTGATGACTCAGTGAAATCCTGTCCCAAATAAATCACTTTTATCCACATGGAGAGGCAGGGTGTGCTTACAGTGGCTCCACGTGAAAAGCATAAAGATGCCATTTGCACCAAACATGCCAAAACAAGGAGTTGGTGAGATGTCACATAGGATACACAACTCTGCACACCTTGTGATTTGCTCAGGCTCTCAAACCGTCCTCACAAGCTGCCCACGGCTCCAGCCGGGGAAAAGCAGCAGAGGCCAGAGCTGGCGGATGGCGCGGGGAGCTGGTGTGCACCCACCCAACCAGCCTGGGGACCTGAGCTGTTGAAACTTGCTACAAGCAGAAAACAGCAGCAAACTACACCTTGCTCTGTAGCGTGGGTGAAGCATGGAGGGAGCAGAGCCTCCGGGGAGCCATGCTACAATCCAGTGCCTTCAGAGCTAACTCCTGCAATAGCATTTTCCATGCAGTGCCCCTGCTTACGTAGCTCCAGGCTTGGCTTGAAGGTGCAATCTGCTTCTTCACGCTATTTCCACAGCCATTTTCACTTGGAGTGCCTGCTGTTTCCTTTCAAAAATTGCTGCATCCCTAAGGTATAAAGGGCAGAAAACTCTTCCAGCAAAGCCTTGGAGTCAGCAACAGAGAGGGGAAACTAAATTATTAAGGACCACATCGATGCAGATTTTCTTTCTGTCTGGAGCAAAACTGAAATCTCTTCTTTCTTCCCCCATTGTGGCTATGGTAATAATACACATCTATTCATTATCCTCATCCTAACTAGAAAAGCTCCTTTCAATTTAGCACTTAATATAATTATGGCAAATTAAATAGTGTCTAGAAAAAAAGTCTTACTTTTTCCGTGCTATTATCTTACCTCTATGAAACTCTACCAGTTAAAAGTGAATCTAGCTATTAAACAATAAGGGTTTGTATCTATTCAGTGAGCAGAAAAGTGAGATGTTCAGCTGAAAATTGTTCAAATTCTATTTCCAAATTAAATACCATATCTCCAAGGGAAAACAGGAGAATCTCATTAATGATGTTCCTTTCGCATTGCGGAGACAGTACTTGAGCACCAATTCTCTGTTCCTTTTCATTCACTCCAATGAAGTTTCCCTTTTTTCATACAAGGAAAATGAGCATTTTACAAAATAACAAAGCAAATTATTGCCTTTGTCTGCTTTCAGCAAAAGTTCTCTCCAGCTAGCAATGCATTGTTAACATGATTTCTCTGAGACATACATAGGATAAAAAGCACTTGGCTGTTGTAAATTCAACAGGAAAATACACAGACTTCAAGGGGGTCAGGCTGTCAAACACAACACAGGAGATCAAACTAAAGAGGCCAGGAGGAACCCAGGTAAAAAGCCATGTGCATTTACATGCCATCTAATAAATATATGATGATAAGTGTTAAGAACTTGGAAGATCCAGTTCTGCAAACACTGACTCACACAAACAAGTCCCTATTTAGAGCAATCCCATTGCAGTCAAAGTGATTTCATTTGTTAGGACAAAGCGCAGACACGGATTTCATACCTGTTCACATCTGTACCATGGAAGGATGTGAAAATCGGAAACATAGATCCTTTCTAGAAGGTCAGTCTGTTTAAAGCAATTAATTTCTATACTGCTACTCAGCAAATTAATAAAATAGACAAAGCATCTACAAGAGATAACCAAGAGAGGCTCTTGGTAAATAGTCATTCTACGTTCTCATAAATAAATCAAACGCTGCCTTGGTAATACTTGAACTGATACTAGAAGCATTATTTTTAACATAGTGTAAGCGTACCAGCCATCAGGAATAAAATATTCAACAGGAAATATCTTTATTATAATTATTTTTAACATAGTGTAAGCGTACCAGCCATCAGGAATAAAATATTCAACAGGAAATATCTTTATTACATTGTTGTTCAACAATCGGGAGAACATCAGCAATAATTAGCAGTGGGCATAAGTAACTGTGCATCCTGTGGATAACAGTGAGGCTTATATTAACACAACGATGTCAGTTGACGACAACTTCATAGCAGAGAACAGCATATTGTGCATTTCTGGGAAAAGGAATCTTTAGCACTGTGGGGATTATTGTGGTTAAATTACTTCTGAGTCACGGTCAGTTGTTGCTCAATGTTTCTCACTCGGTCCCTACCTACCTTTTATTTCCTCATGAGTATGCACCTGTTCAGAGAAGAGAATAAAACTGGCACTGTTGCACCCGCTCTTGTAGCTAATTTGGAGGAGTTATTCAGTATCTTGCTTACACAAGGGGATTATTTTTATTTATATTACAGAATAGCCCAGCAGAAGCCAAGGCCACATTGCACTAAACACTGTGTGAACTTAGAACAAAAGATAGACCTTGACACCAAAGAACTTGTAATCCCAGCAGACATAAAAGAAGATGAAAAAGGCATTGGAAGCTGATACTAACACAGCCTGGCCATGTCCCTTCTTGGGGCACTCAGGAACAGGAGAACCCTACGCCACACTTCTCAGATATGCTCATGGCTAGGGGAACCTCCCAGCTTTCTCAGCACATCTCACCCTCTTGGAAAAGAAAGCTTTCAGCACCTACGCTGAGGGTTTCCACAAGCCAGAACTTGAATACCAACTTGGAAAAAATTAGGTTAGATGCCCGACAGTCTGGGCTTGGTTTACACAGCCTCCAGCCCTGTCCACAGCTAGAACTCCCCAAGTCTACTGCGATGCATAGCTGTATGAATAAATGAGTGCATGTATGCTAACGTGCCTTCCGTGACCTGGAGTCCAGAGACAAATTCAAGTAGTAAAAGCAGAGTGACTACAAGCAATAAAGCCTGGGTGGATCAGTGAAAGAAATATGGGGCCTAGTGTGCATTCATTGAACTTGAATTAAAATAAAACAAAATTAATTTATATCCATTCTTATCAAACTACATCTCCTTTTCAGTGAGGGATGTTAAAAAGGCAGAGCAAGACAACGAGGTTGGGCCAAATTAACAGATGTCAAAACGGAAAGAAGAAAATCTATTTTAAACCAAACTCAAAAATACAAATTATTTAATGCCTAACACGCCTGTGTCCTGCTTTAGACTGACAATAACAGAGAGCTCCACAGAAGGCAACTTAAATTACTGCCTTGCCCACTAGTGCTGTAATGTGTATGGTACATTCACTGTTCACAGAAAGCTTTCATAATCCAAGTAAGGATTTACAACTTTATGGAAAAAAAAAATAACATTACTCAGATCTGAACTGTCTTTGACCAATATATGAAAGAAAAGGTCATGAAGCAATCTGCAAATCCAGATTTCTAGCCTTAGTAAGGTAAGGGGAAAAAACCTATTCATTGTATCAGCAACTGTCAGGCTTGCAGCATTGTGCAAGGCTCTTTTGAAAGCAACACAGCAAGAAAAGACAGAAAGATTCATCTTATAAAATGGAAATCTCATCTATTTGCATCCATGCCAGGAGCTTACCAGAATAACCCCCCCAAGCATTAATTCCAGTGGCAATGTGAACATTCAGCTTCCAGGGATTTCCCAGATGAGCCAGCAGCAGCTCCCTGGGTGAACTGTTCAATATTTCATACAATGTCAAAAAGCCTCAGTAACCCCCTACTACCACATAAAAGTGGTAAAACGCTGAAAGTCATACCAAAAAGAAAAAAGACAAAAAGAAAAGATTTTAAAAAAAATAAATTGTTCTTTTCATTCTGCCAAAATTACCCACAGTGAGTAACAGTTACCCATACCACGCAATGCTCTCCTCACTGGGATGTGGCAATTGTTTGCTGTGAGGAGAGAATTCCCTGTCATTATAATCTGAGAAAAGAGCAAAACAATTGAAAAGTGCAATGCTAGCGTAGGCTGTGCACTCTTAACTAGCATCAAACAACACAGGTAACCAAAGCCAAACTGTCTGCAGCACTGGAGGTGGGAAGGAGCAACAACACACGAAGAGTTGTCTGGAACAAACTGCATTAGCATGGAAATTAAAGTGCCTTTTAGAGCAATCTCATGTTTTTGCACTGAAAAAAACTGAAGGAGAGCTGGCAGGACACTGCTTTTGCACTTGAAGTGCTGGGCTAGGATGCAGAAGGTCCAAGTTCACATTCAAGCTTTCCACTCAAGACAGAATTACACGTTTCATCACTCAATGCCTCTCTTCCACATTTTATAAACTGCAAGTCTGCTTTTATCTTACCCTCTGCTGATCAATTCAGACAGCACGCCCTTCGGGACTCTACTACAGTAGCATCCCATTTTGGGAATACACACAAAATAGCTATTACATTATTCCTTGGGGGAACAATTTCACATTGATTGATTCACTGACAGATTAGACAGGATGAAGCAAGAAGACTCAGTGTTGATTCCGCCCCTCTCCCCTCCTGCCCAAGGATAGCTGCACATGTCCCAGTTTATGAAGGACATGTATTTCCCTTTTGCTTTTAGTTGGTTAATTTCAAATTGATACTAGAATCATGCAAATGGCAACCAGGTTGCCAAAACACACAAATTCGTACAGTCCTATAGCCAGTTCCCAAGAAGCCAAAGCTTGGCTTAGAGTTTAACAAAACACATACAAAACCTATTATCTGCCAGCATGATATCGGCCCGTAGCACAGACCTCAGTGACACATTTCAAAATGGAAGCCTAGGTATACACCTAGCTCTTCACTAAGCAAAGAGGAGAAAAGAGCCTTTTCAATCTAGACTTTGATTTAGAGATCTATAAACCCTCAGTCCAAAAGGATTGTAGAGGAAATAATGGTACAAATTCAACTGTAGCTCTACAAACACAATATAAGCTATTTGAGACTCGAGAACAAGGAATATGCTCATGTTCTTTGTTCAGGTTGCAAGGGAAAAAAAGAAACAAAACCAACATACACACAAACAGCTGGATTATTCTAACCTAAAAAAAAGAATCCACTTTCCACATCACCCCTGCTGTGATGAGAAGAAACCATGTAAGGGTAACTTACTAGCCTGCTGTCTGTTTCCACTTTTACTGAATATTCCCCTTTAATCCCTTGATCTTCTCATATTACACAGATACGTATGCAGTACCTAGAGCCTGACACAAGCATGACACCCTCACACCTTTCAATAGTATTCCAATAATCCAGAGATGTGGAAATTATTGAAGTAGTCTTGGCTTTTGAATTCCTCAATGATAAAATACTCCTGCTCAGCAGACACTATTTTGTGAAGTTTTTGCTGTTTCCTGGCTCACCTGATCTCACATTTCAAGCCTGGGAGAGAGCATCCATGACTTAATTTTGCTCCCACCATCTCCAGAGTAGCAATGGATAGAAGCATTTAAACAAGGAGTCTCAGAGCTGCTACTAATTGAAGGCTGTCTTAAAATTTACAGCATGCTAAAATGTGCTGTGTCCAACTAGTATCACAGCAGAAGCACATAGGCAAATTTTGCAGGCAGGAAAACTGCTCCTGAAGAGTAACCCGTCACCATGGGTGGGGAGACATGAAGAAAGCAGGCAGGTACAATGAGCAAAACCAGGGCAGTGTGTAGACAGGTACAAGGGGTCCCACTTGGGATTTGGGATGAAGTCCTGAGCAGCTCATCCTCTGGAGCAATAAAGCAGCAGGTGGGAAGGCCTGGGTAGGATGTACGCTGCTCCTTAGTGCTTCACAGAGGCTCAGCAGCTGCTTGTCAAAAGGATGGTTTTCAGGACAGTTTTCCTTCCTCCTTTATTGCATGGCCAGAAAGAGCCACTGTGGTGGGAAGAGGCTGTCAGTTAGGCGCAGTTACAATTGAACACACCACAACCACAGTGCTCCATATGGAGGGCTGCAAGCTCCACACACAGCAGCACCTGGGAGGAGTTTGCTCAGTCTCATAAGCTTGGTGCTCTGGAACCAGAGCAGGAACACCAGCAATGACAGCCAGGAGCCTGCACGAGGAGTAAGCAAGCCCAGCCCGACACTGCGACAGGCTGACATAGTAGGTCTCTGTCATTTATGCCCAAACCCAGATGTATTTGGCATTTGGATTGACTGTTCCCATTCCCTGAGCTGCTGCTTGTGTTTTCCTTTACCTTAGTAACCACAGCAGGCATGCACAAACACCTACAATGTGCTGCCAGAGACGTCTCATGTTGAAGAGTGGAGGCGTGAGGAGCAGCATTTCTCACTGAGAAAACACTATGCTATTAATGCTCCAAAGGCAGGGAGGTCAGGAGAAGAAACACTAAATGCAGCTTTTCCTCCCCAAATAAAACAGGAGATCAAATAGCACTAATCTGTGCAGTTGCAGAAGGAGGTCTCTGCTTTGTGGCTCAGAAGCAGCAGAACCCTGCTGACACACTTCAGGGCAGACTCATTTTTCACCTCTTAAGCTCCTGATCCAGCCCTAAAAGATCTTTGCCACTGGCAACACTGAAAATCTTATGATTACCTCCAGCAGATGATGGGTCCCTTGGACATGAAGTGAGTCTAACCCAATTCAGATCTGCTTAACTAAAATTTTAATAATCTAGGAACATAGTATGAATTATTCGAGTCTGAGTTTTGCTCGGAACACAGCACGCTGGCTTCAAACACTGCTCATTACAGATTACAGAAATCGCCTTTCCCTAGAGATAGCTCAGATTCCAAACAGCAGTGCCGTATCGGACACAGAGCCATTTTTCCCCCCAAGAAAGCACCTTGCTAAATACCTAACAGAAACAGAACCACCTGTACTGTACAAGCCTCCCTCCCACTCACCTGATGAATCAGTGTTACAAGAAAGCACATGGAAATTAAATTCAGTACCATGAAAAGATTACAGCAGTAAATCTGCCTTTCAGTTGCATT